CAGGGCAAGCTACTGTATATAAACAGAGAGCAAACCCCACTCCATTCTAGCACTAACGAAATGTTTGCAAGAAAATAACCAAGCTCAGAGAACCCCAAGGACTCCACAGTTCAACCCTGAGCTACATATACTCTCTTCTATTGAGACTTAGCACTAGATGAATAAAGATAAATATTGTGGGGCAGAACTAGCTAAGACAGAGATCCCAAATACCTTTCCCTCAAAATATCCCCTATAGTTTGGGGGCCTTTTTCCATAGCAGAAGTTTAGGCTGTGTCCCAACTTGCACTTAACCACAGCACAAGCCTGCCCTGGCAACATCTTTTTTCCCAATGTAATCCCATGGCACTTCCTTCATTCTTCATACCAGCTTAAGTTGCTCCTGGTTCTTTCAGTGTTAGAGTAATGTTTTCCCCATTATTCCAACACCAAGAAACAACAATCTCAAGGTGTGGGGAAAGGGCCATAAAGCTCTCCATCTATCCTTAGTTGGCAGAAAAATATACTGGCATGAGATGTGCTGTCCCTCTTTCAATTTCTATCCTGCCTCTCTTCTCAGTCACTGCAGTTGCCTCATTTCCCTCTCTGTTGAGCTATCTGGTATCTGGTGTATCTGGTGGCCACTTATATTCCTAACTCTTCAGTTGCAGCTGAGCTACAGTTAGAATTCTGCTCTCAGTTCTATACATGCAGCTCCTTCCTTTGATTACTTCCCCTCTTATGAAAAAAAATCACAAATCACTTAGACTTCATACCCAGTTAGAGTCATAAGTAGGTTTCTGTTGGGACTGGAGTGAGAGAACAAGAGGGAGCCGGTCCAGGCAGTGTGATGTTGTTTGGAAGTGAGAAGCCTGCTGGGATGGGTTGAGGAGAAACCCGGCAGGCTGAGCTCCCAGGAGCCCCCTGACATTTCGAAGAAAGAAGCCAATTAAAGTTGTAAAAGACAACTGGTTTTGTTTCCTTGCTTCCTCTCCGCCTTCTTCTAGTTCACTTCCTGGATTCCAGGTTGTTTGGCATTAGGTTTTGCCAGATATAAATGCACATACCTATTTGCGTATCTATTTACATCCTTAAAAATCTTCAGTCTTAAAGGCACCCAGGAACTGTTTTAAATTAATACATAACTACAACCTTTCCTAGTGGCTATGAAAAGGACGACAGATTCTTTGTGTGTATAATATACTTATGCTTACAGAATGGGACATTGTAATTTCTGGTCAGTGAAACTTCTGGAGAAATTCCTTCATGATTAATTAATAATCATTGGTACACTGACTTAAAAACTTTACATTTATTTATTTATTTATTTATATGTTATTTATATTTCAAATTTGTCACCACCCATCTCACTACAGAGCAACTCTGGGCGGTTTACAGTAAAAAAAAAAATTAATTAAAATAGAATAAATATTAATTAAAATACATTACAGCAAGACTTCCTGTATAAATAATAAATATCTTCCAACTGATTTTATTTATGTTAATGACACAATGAAGGTGCCATGATTTAACTTTTATGATTATTTAGAGGTGTGTGCCAAAACTGTTTTTTTTAATATAATTTTTATTAAAAGCAGATTTTACATAAGATTAAAAAACTACAGAAACATAAAAGGAAAAGTAGAAAAAAGGAGATGTGAAAGAATAAAAGAAAAAGTGAAAGATAACAAAACAGAAATAAAGAAAAAAAGACAGATATCCAAGGAAGCAACTTCCGATCTTCTTTGCAGCAGTTACAAACATAGTAATTACCATCTCCACCCTCCTAAATTACATAGCTTGGTTCCCTTCTTCCCGTAAGCAAACCTTTTTAATCAATAAATCCCAAAATTACCAATTCAGTTTTATCCAAAGCTGTTTAATCACATGTGTACATTTCTTCTCAAGTTAAAAAAAAACAGATATGTAACACTGATCTCAAGTTTAATCATACAAATTTCAGATGCAGCTATGATTATAAGCACAGTAATGGGGATTGCATTGCTTTGCTTTTGGTCTTGTTTTACAAATAATTTTGTTTCAGAACTGATAATTTTGAAAATAAATTCCATTGAGAGAAAGTCCTAAGATGTCTCTACCACTTAAATATAACTACTTCTGAATTTAAAAGAATTTGGAAAAATAGAACTTTCTTGATCTATCCGTATATATTTAATTGATTGAATGCTGATACCAAATGTAAGGCCGGCCGGCTTCCTTCCTTCCTTCCTTCCTTCCTTCCTTCCTTCCTTCCTTCCTTCCTTCCTTCCTTCCCCATCCTACCTTTTTCTATGGATTCTTCTTATATATTAAATTAATATTTTTTCCAAAGCTAATAGGAGTGTTTGTATTCCTGGAATTTAGTTCTCTTTTTGATGATTGTCTTCTAGGCTAACCAAGGTGCCTGAGGCTGAAGACTTGGCAGCAAGAATGTTAAAAGTCTGTCCACAAAACAGGATCTCTGCACAAGAGGCACTTTGTCATCACTTCTTCTCCCCCCTGCCATCTCAACTGGGCCAGCTTTCCAATGGTACATCATTCCCTGTTTCATGTCCACTCTAAGGATCTCAGAATGACCGTATTAATTTATTTCAATATCTTTTGGTGGGAGGTAAACACAGTCATGCATAGATCAGGTCAATTTTACTATGGCCTGTAGTCAGCAAATAAAACAGATTTAAAAAAAAGGAAAAGAAGAGTATCAAAATAGATAAACACAAACAAGTGAATGCAGCTTATGCATGCATAGTTTACTAAGAACATATGCTAGAAAACTCCAGTGAAGGAAGCCATGAAAGGCCAAAAAAGCTATATTCTTCAGCCATTAAATCAAGAATAGACAAAATTTTGAGGTCCTAGGCACGTCTGGAATTTTTAGAGCATTTTGCAGTCAGATCACTTCCCAGAAGGCAAATGGATAAGACCATTCCCTGACATAGCCTCTACAGTAATCTCCCTCAATGCTCTCTTCAAAACAGAGTACTGGTCACAGCCAGTCACCATTTTTATTTTCCAAGGATGCATATAGAACATAAAATGTATTTTATCTATTTTATTGTAAGCCACCCAGAGTCACATATGTGAGATAGGCAGCCATATAAATTGATTAAATAAATAAATATGTAGGGCTCAGAGGCAGTCTGGAAATAAAGGTATTGCTAAGGACTGATATTTTGTTTTCTAGCTTTTGTTTTTAATTAAAAGTTTGTTTAAGTCAGATTGGGCACTGGAATGTGTGGGTTCAAAGGGAGGTATTCCCAATATACCAATGTTGGTATGTTAGCATGTTTTCACAATGGCTGGTATTTCAGCTGTGTTGCTGCTAGTGGGACTTCCATGGAAGTTATATGACATTATCATAGCAACCTGTGTGTTGGGAAACAAATCCAAGTCACTGAGAAAAAACCTCATTATCATCACAACTGAGTTAACTGAACCTCCATAGAGAGGAGGATCTGATTAAGATGACCTGCCCCAAATGCCTGATGAATCCAAATTTCCAGATGGTACTTGGAGATTTTCTCAATGATTTAGAGGGCAATTCTGTGGGGTACCTTGTTACCCTCTGGAACATAGAAGTGACCAGGGTGTTTGACAGGATTGATCCTGAGAGGCCTCTCCCTGCAAGCTGATCCTGACCAGGTATGTGGTTTTCTGAGGAGCTCCACAAAACAAAGGTGAAGGGATGCTGGAGTGACACTGCCAGAAAACAAGAAGTATGACCAGACATGGGTAAAGCTCAAGTTCAAATCTACTCTAAGGTGATAACAGCAGCAAAGCAAAATTACTTCTTGCCCTTATTGCATCTGCTGAATGTCAACCAGCTGCATTATTTCGTTTCCCTGGCCCTTTTAGGAGCAGAAGAACCAATTTAAGTCCCACTCATCTGACCAAGGATTTTATGTTTAAAATCACTCATGTTTGCGTTGAGTTGGAAGATAGATGGACAGAATCTATTGAAATGACTGGATCACCTCTTGTGATATTACCTGAGAAGCTATTGGGCTAGTAGATCTTGAAGAAATGATGGTCCTCTAAGTGCCCACTCTGGTGTCACTTACTGGAGATTGCCCAAGGCACTTGGGCAAGGCACTCAACTTAGAGATTCACTGCCAAAAGGAAGAGTATTGTACAGGAGCATTTGTCTTCCAAGGCAGCAGATGAATTTGCCTCAATGTACCCTTACCCTTTGCCTTTTGTTTTCTTCATAGCCCAGTCCATCTTCACAGTACCCGGAGTGACGCTCAGACAAGAAATGTGTGACCTCTTTTTTTCATCTCAGAAGGGCCATCAGGAAAATAGCTCAAGCAAGTTTTGGTGAAAGAAAGAAAGGAATTTTTTTCAAGAGAGAAAGGAGGCAAAGAAAGAAATCCATACTGTTTATCATCACTAGCTAAGACAAATGGGGATAAACTACATATTTTAAGGATCCTGGATTTCAACTCATGAGCCAATGATTGGATGGGGGTCTGGGAGGAGAGATATGGACATAAGTACAAAGAACATTTATTTCTGCAGTTCTAAGTTGAAATGCAACACCTAGTAATACCAACCTTTCCAAACATGGGGAGTAAAACAGAATGGATTACAATGTTTGTTTTAATTCACCACTTTGACTCTAATTGTCCGGAACTACTATCCTACATGGGCCTTCTGCCATCATTAATGGGGTTATTGTTTTTCAGGTTCCACATTAATGGAACATTAAAAATGTGCATTGTGGGCAGGTGATTTAACAACATTCAGCTGAATTCTTTGCTCTTAAACTGTCTCATTCATGAATCTTCTGTCTACAGTTTCGTCCCACAGTTCCCATCCTACCATCCCATAGCATCAGTAGCAGAAGATTCAATTGTAACCTAGCCTTATGCAGGTGCTGTTTTATCTTTGAAGAGGGAAATGCTTTTCAAAGCACCCAAAAATATCTCTCACACACTTTATTAGATTTCCAAGATAGTATTCACCAGTTCTTGGAAAGCAAGGAGAGAATTGTTGGGGTGTCTTGATTCAGTAGTATTTGAAGGTTCAAGATTACTGTAATATCTAAGGTCCAAAGACCTTGTGCTATAGGATGTTACCCATTTTCAGACTAGACTCATTGCTTGTGGAAGCCATGTAACTGAACCTCTTGACTCCCAGATTCTCTTGGTGTATTTCAAAAGTGCATGGTATGTTGTTGTTGTTTTTTTAAAAAAAACCCTGAGGCATAAACCTGCATCATTTTTGTGGGCCAGAAAAAAAGACTGTATTAGAATGGTGTAATTCACACACATTGCAGTAATAACATGTAGGCCTTTTGGACAGAAATTGGGGAGTTCAGACATTTCAGTTTCCTATTTGTCCAGTGTTAAGTTTGATTTGCCATGTTTTCACATTATTTTGATAAGTTTAAAAAAATCATACAAAAACTTGTGTGAATGCTTTATGTATACATATTTCTCTTAATATAACAATTTTGTTATATTACAAGTTTACAGTTTTGTCATACATGCATTTTTGCAATAGGTTTTTCACACAGGGTATGTGTTTTTATACTTTATTTTCACTAGTATAAGCATTTTTATACACCCTTCCCTAGTATAAATGTTTGTGCATGTTTAATTGGAGAATTGGAAGATTAAAAAAAAATGCTTAAGTCAAACAATACTTGAGTTTTGGTTTGTGACTTGGTCTGAAAATGTAAAGTTTAAGTAATATTAAATGCAAGTTGAACTGGCTATCCCTACTCTTGAATACTTTTAATTCCTTTGAATAATTTTAATTCCCTTTATTTTCCAACTGAAACTAATATTCCACTCTGCCTCTGTTCTGTGGATATAGAACATGCTCAGTCTGAGCTGGCCTGTTTCTTCTTTTATTTTTTTCTTTTAATTTGCAAAGTTGTACATTTGTAAGGAATTTCCCAACAAGTAAAAACAGTTACCTAATTTGTGGGATGCCGTATTTCATTTCCAGAATTACACCTTGTCTCTGAGATTAGTAGCAGTTAATATTTATGGTTTTTCTTCAAAACTTGTAGACGTTTGTCTCCAAACTTTGCATTCAAAGGTGGTAAATAGATCTTTCACCATGTATTGCACTATGACATTTAGAAGTCCAGCTGTTCTGTTCAATTCTCGTTCTTCATCCAGGTTTCCATTGTTCTTCAATACTTTAATGATTTGGTACTCCCACTTTAGGGTTTATTCCTCTGAAGGATCTTAACATTAATCTGGTTTCAGGTGTCTCTGAGTCTGTTCTTGCCTCCCAACTGGATTGTGGGTGATGCAGTTTTGACTACAAAAGCAATGGCATTTCCCCCTCAAAGACTAGTATGAAGAGAGATCTCCCTCCCTTCTCTAAGCCATTCCTTCAATATCTCTGTGTATTGCTCTCAACTACTGTGTGACACCTACCCAATTATTTGCAATATTTGCTCTTTGGATGGATAGACTCATCCAATACTAAGATAGCATTCTTCCCAATGCAGATAGGAAGACACAGTGGGGTGTTTTCTTCTACCGGGCAGATGTTAGTCTTCTTGCCAAAGATTGCAAATTGCCAAATCTTTGGATAGGATGTAGAATCTCTCTTTTGCTTGCTGGTTCTTTCTTCCCATGGGCCCACCTTGAAATGCCTCTTCAAAAAGAATTTTCGCAGGTTCGACAGCCTACAGAAATGCGTGGGAGAAGATTAAAATGCAGCTTTCAGTCTCCTCCTCATCTATGTGCTGCAGACCTAAAGATATTTTATGATATTGTTTATTGTTTATATAAAGTAAATACTTTGTGTAACGTAAATAATTATAATTTAAATGAGGAAAACAGAATAAGAGGGAAATAAAATTGTATTCCCTTATCTTTACTGTAATCCTCTTGCTCCATTGTCAGTCTGATCAGAACTGGCAAACCTTCTGGACATCCACCAGCTGGTTGGAAAATGGCGTAGTGAAATCTTTGTTACATATAGAAGGCAAAGTTAAATTTCTTCCTCCTGCGTGATGAAACATTGGGGTGGGGGGGGACTAGAAAATAAAAGGAAATTGTAGATTCTTCCTTTGCTATTACAAAAGTGTCTGGAGTTCCAAAGATTCCTGCTGAAATATTTACACTGATTAAAAGTATTTTTGGAGAGATAACAATGAGGATTGCATCCTATATTAAATAAAAAAATAAACTGAGAAATTTTGCTTACATGTTCCCCTCTCTCTTTCCTTCTAAAAAAAAAAAAATAGTGATGGAAGTTTCCAGTTGCTGGAATATTTGTCACAATGGAAGGCATGAGGTCACAATCAGCAGTTAGAGGATCAGCCCATTGATATCTCCATCAAAGTAGTAAAATTCTGTTCAGTTGCAGTATTTCTCAGGAAAATATTTATTTGAATTTGGCGCTTCTTCTGTTTCTTTTATGCATCTCCTTTTTGGGGGGGGTGGCCTTTAAAAGAATTATGTATTGTTTGGGTACAGTATTTAATTTCCTTTCTTTGCTCTCTATGACATAAATAAAGCAATAGTAATAACAATCAGCTTTGTAGCCTCTGACTATGAAAGACACCATTATTGGTATACCGTTAACCTTTCTTAATATTTATGATTTAGGCTAAGTTGGACACATGTACTTACTATGAGTAGCACCACAAATTTCTTTTAAAAATCACTTATACTTTTATCACACTAAAAGAATCTGGTTTCTGTCACTTCTGGCAAACTCACAGTGAGATTCAATGCACTGTTTACAAGGGATCCCCAAATGAAAAACTCTGAAAATGTAAATAAACAGAAATCATAGTTAAAAAAAATGCAAGCTCTTAGAATTGCCTAATGTTAATATACAATAATTAAAAATATACATTACATGTTTGTATTGCAAATACTAGAAGTAGGCAGGGTAGTACTTACGGGGACCACAGTACCCCTAGGTATCTATCCCCCGTGGTGCTCACCAGATTCTCTGTCCTACTTGACTTTTTTTAAATAGAGGCTTTTAATACTTAACTAGGAAAATATCAGCTCTACTTGGTTTAAGTAAATTGTTGTATAATGGCACACTATTATGGGAAATGTATTGCTGTGCAGAGGAAAATCTAATCAGAAATATAAAAAACAGGAGAAGGTGTCTTCAAGTCAACATATCCTAAAGTCTGGAGTCAGTTGCAATCAACTCAAGGTCATCTAGACAGCTGGAATATCAAGTGGAGATTTGTAGCTTGGTCTTTATAGTTTGACATTTACTTGCAAGTCATTTGATTAGACAAAGAACTGAAGGATGACATTTTTCAGTTAAATAAAGGGGTCTCGTGTATCCATAGAATACACTATAAGAGTGAAAAATTACAGGGGAAAAGTGCATTTGAACCATGAATATTATTTACTTACTAGTCTGTGCCAAAACATGGATACTGTACAGTAGTTTGAAAGGGGATGTGTGTGTGGAGTTTAGGTATCCCATCAGTTCTGTGAATGGCCAGTGGGATGCTGCTTTCATCTGTCCACTGTGTGTGTTTTCACTGTACTTTGTGTCTACATATGATTTGTCTCACTGCTTTTAATGTTCCCAAGGATTTTTAAAAAAAGAGAAGAAAGAAAAAGTGCATTTTATCTGATGGCTGGTGTGGGTCTTCCGGGCTGTGTGGCCGTGTTCT